CTTAATGTATGCTCATCATTATAATGAGTGAGTGCCTTCATATGAAAGGTGTAGCAAACAAAAACTCGGAATTTTTACTATTTTTATTAAAATATCACATATTTTAAATAAGACATTCAAAGAATAGAGAGGATGAAATTTGTAGTTTTCCTAACCTAGAAAAATTGTTTCCTGTTGAAATGCCAACCATGTAGTAGAGAAGCATTTCACATTAGGGTAGGAGTTGTGTGATAATGATAAAAAGAAAGGTTTTTTTTTTGTTTTTTTTTTGGTACTGGAGATCAAACTCAGGACCTAGCGCTTGTGAGGCAGGCGGTGGCACCACTGAGCTAAATCTCCAGCCCTAAAAAGAAAGTTTTATACAATCAAAATTCTTGAATATACCTTTCATTTATCTCCATGGTAGTATAAGTTCTGTCTCAGTATGTATCTGTGTTTGTAATGAATACCCTGACTATGGAGTAAATTGTCTCTTACTTCAGTAACACATGTGTGCAAATACCATTTAATAATACTTGTATTGTTATGGCAGTACTGACAGTAGGGTCCCGGTTACTCAAGTACAGTATGAAGAGTAGATTTCATGTAGATTCAGTGTGCTGCTGATAGAACTCTGGAAGAGGCACATTTCCCACTTCTCTGAATGTGGCTTTCTTCCTGAGGAAACGATATTGAGGCTCTCTTGATGAGTGAGAATAGAGCTTAGGTAAGAAGAGTGTATTCACAGTTTTTACATTTCATTTAGAACAATAATCACACCTTGAGGTTATGACATGCATCTCCGGAGGAAGAGAACTGGGTCTCGCCAGTTCCTGTAGTGCTGCGGATGACACAGTGGTTCTCTGATTTGGGCTTTTGTGCTTTCTCTCATTCTGCTTCCCTAGTTGTGTGAAGAGCTCTTTGAGAAGATCAATGACAACTGTAATGAAGAGATGTCTTACTCTGTAGAGGTGAGTTCCCTTGGTGTGAAGCCTGGGTCTCTGTTCTGTCCTCAGCGTCACTGCTCGTTGGGTCCCACTAATTACCGCTGTAGATCGCTGAACCACCCCCTCAATTTTGTACTTTTAGAATGTTTCTAAGTTTTGATTATAATGAATAATGCTGGATTTAAGTTTCTGATCACAATTCTATTTCTTTTCAACTACTACTTTTTATGTATCTTGGTTGTTAAATAATACATTTGAATTGCCAAAAGGCCTTTTAGAGAGGCTGTAACTAGGTTTTAATTCCACTAGGAGGTGTATAAGCACCCATTGTGCCCTTGCCAACATTTAGTATTTTCATTTTTTAGTCTTTGCTAATTTGGTGTAATTTCTCTTATTTGAATTTGAATTTGATTATTAGTGTGGTCGACTATCTTGTAAATTGTATAGATGCCTATTTACACTTTAGATCACAGTTGTTTTTATTCACTTGTATGAAGTCTTCCTCTTTAATAATAGACAAATGAGTTGAACCCTCTTTGTCTCACACTTGTGTGAAGAGGGACAAATTTTCCAAGCAGGTGGGCATGTGCCCTCCTGTCTCCTAGGGATTCAGAATTGTATGTACAAGTTTAAGTAGTAAGAATAATTGAAAGTATCTTGCTTTTTAGGGTGACTTGCTACCAGAAACAATACTTGTTGTTCTGTTTTAGTCTCATAGTGAATCAATTACTTAATTTTCAGGGTTCTTTTTCTTTTGGTACTGGAGATTGAACTCAGAACCTTGCGCTTGTGGGCAGGTGGCGGAACCAGTGAACTAAATCCCCAGCTTAGGGTTCTTAATTTTTTAACTGATTTTTTTTTTTAAAAGAGACAGAAAAAAAGGAAATGGAAATGGAGACAAGGTTCCATTTCAGATATTCTGAAAATGTGAGTATAGAATGTAAAGTTGAAAATTGTGGGAGTTTATATTGTAGCCTGAATAGCTCAGTGGTACAGAAGGATCTGATTCATGGAAAGGATCATAATGTGGCCTGCTGTAGTGAATGTATCCCAGTTCCCAGCCTTGTGTACTTAGAAGTCTGATTTTATGAGACATCAGGACAAAACCCTCCTTCAAAGGCAGACTCTTGAGTGAAGCACATTTGGCTGTTATGAGACCAGCATGTTAGTTTGTTACCTTCCCATGAGGAGTACCTATTTCCTAAACTCAAAACTCAAATTTGCAAGAGTCTTGTGTTATCTTCTGGAGACAGACCTATGTTGGAACCCTGATGGTTGTTTGGTGAACATGGAATGACAGAGGGGGGAGTTGATTAAATAAATGAAATGTTCATTAAGAAATGATGACTTGATATATTCATTATCATGAGGGATCATCATGTCCTGCTGATGGAGCAATTTGTGAAGCAATTATCTGAGATTTCCTTCTTCAGGCCACTGTGGCTGATCCACCCTCACCACTCCTGGTGCATACATTGTCTGTGGTGACAGTGTGATCAGTCTAAAGAATTAGAGTTACCAGTCTTTTGTCTTCTCTGTGCTGAAATACTGACACTGTTCTTGGGCTTTAACTCTGATGGAAGTCTTATTTCCAAGTGCTTGGGGTAATCTCACTTTAAACCTCAATTACTGGTAATAGTATTCATAAAAAAAAACTATTGATGACTAATATTGCTTCTAAAATATCTTTTCTGCTGAATACAAGTAGCAACCACTTTGTGCCTGAGACAACCTGATGATGTCCTTTTTCCTCCTGAGAAAGTCAGAAGGCTGGTTCTGACCTATGCAAGGTGATAACCTGTTTGTGCTATTAGTAGCATAAATGGGCCTAGCACTATGGCACATTGCTTCATCAATCTTGCTGATCTCTCATAACACACCTTTCTGTAAAAGTATTTTTGGGGCCAGGGTTTTAGCTCAGTGGTTTCACTGCCTGCTATGCAAGCGCAAAGACCCAAGTTTGATCCCCGGTACCAAAAAAAAAAAAAAGTTTTTTGGTCATTTTTTGTTAGGTTTTATTGATATAGGGTCATGCTACACTCCAGGGTGGCCTCAAACTCCCAGTCCTCCTGCTTCAGCCCACTAGAGTGCTAGAATTAAAAGATGTACACCTCTGTGCCCAGCATTTATAAATGTTTTTTAGAAATTTTTACTGCACATGATTTCTTTTTTCCAAGTCCTCTACTTCACTGTAATAATGTTTCTAGGTGAGCTACATGGAAATTTACTGTGAGAGAGTGCGAGATTTGCTGAACCCCAAAAACAAGGGTAACTTACGTGTACGTGAACACCCGCTTCTTGGCCCCTATGTGGAAGACCTGTCGAAGCTGGCAGTGACTTCTTACACTGACATCGCTGACCTCATGGACGCTGGGAACAAAGCCAGGTATGGTAAGAAACAGGCTAATGGTGGAGGTCTTTGGCTCATTTTTGAGGCCCTTTGTTCCCACTTGAGGGATTGAGGCCACATTAAAGCTGTGAACGTTGCTTTCATTGTGGACTCCTCTGATCCTGTGTCTGTGCTGGAGAGCTGCAGGTTTTAACATATTAAGTCTTATGAAAACAAGGTACTGCTGAAACAGGCTAGAACTTCAAGTTTTACTCTTGGGGTTTATCAGGTCATAGTAAAATGTTAGTCACTGTGTCTCTATGACTCTGTGGTAGCAATTGATTCTGGAATAAATGAGCACCTAATAAAGAATCGAAATTAAATGCTCCAGTGGTTTCCAAAGGGATAGCTGAGGTATGAGCAGTGATTCCGATGAGGGCCCTTGAAGTTGGAGGTTACCTTGACAGGCTCCCACATCAGGCAGCATTGTGTGAGTCTCAGTCTGTGAATAAGTTTAAGGCTGTTGCTTGTGATTGTTATGCTTATAATGTGGAGCCTGCTGTCCATTTTAACTCATGTAAGAATTCCATTGTCCCGTGTCCCCTTTCTGTTTATTTAGGACAGTGGCAGCTACCAACATGAATGAAACAAGTAGTCGTTCCCATGCTGTGTTTACCATTGTTTTCACCCAGAAGAAACATGACTCAGAGACGAACCTCTCCACTGAGAAGGTAGGGGAACTTCGACCTCTGGGCTTGTGTTGTGAAGATGGGATTTTGGTACTGGGGATCGAACTCGGGTCCTTTTTGCTTGTGAGGCAGGCAGCAGAACCACTGAGCTAAATCCCTGGTCCTACTCTCCATTTTTTGAAATGGAGGAGAATTGCTCTTTCACCTAATGGAGGGTACTGTTGTATAACTTATGCTTACCATTTTTCTTCCACGCTATACCAGTTTTCAGCATGGGTTCATTTACTTAATGGTGGAGATTGAACTCAGGTACTTAAGCGTGGTAGGCAAGTGCTTTGCCACTGAGCTACACCCTAGCCTCAGCTTGGGTGCTTAAATGAAATTACAAGGTAGAAAATACTGCATTTTTTTCCTCCCAGTATTGGGGATTGAACTCAGGCAAGCATGGTGCCAGTGAGCTACATTCCTGGCTCAAGATAGAAAATACAGTTAAGAAAAAACAGTCTTTTTTTTTTTAAAAAAATGACTTTTGGATCTCATAAACTCTATGCAAGACAGTTAAGCAGTTGTGGAGAGAAACACCTTCATTTTCTTCTGGAGTGGACCATAGTAATGTTAGTTGATGATGTTACTATGGAGTTAAATGTTTATGTGACTGATTAGGCAGGCACAGTATGTTTTGTTCTTTAATTTCATGATAATTCTGGTGTTCTTCAAATACCCGTGCTTGTTAATTTCTCATTTTGTGTAGTAGTTAAATATTGTAGACGTTGGAATCAGACTGCTTGCTTTTTTTTTTTTTTTACTCTTTTTTGGTACCGGGGATCAAACTTAGGACCTTGCGCTTTTGAGGCAGGTGCTGGAACCACTGAGCTAAATCCCTGGCCCCAGACTGCTTGCTTTGAATCCTCTTTTCAGCTGTATTATTTTGGGCAAATTATGTAACCTCTGTGTGCCTCGGTTTCCCTGTCTGTAACCCCTTTATAGTGGTGTTCAAAGGTAAATATAGGTAAAGTGCATATAATAGTGTTTGGCACAGAGTAGCCATGCAGTAAATGTTAATTTTATTATTGTTAATAATGAAAACAATGTTGAGTTCTATTCTGCCTACATTTCAAAGTGGCATGTAACTAGATTCTTAAATCTGAATTTAGATGTGTTGTGCTGGCAGCTATATAGGATCCTTTTCTTTCTTTTTTTTTGGTACTGGGGATTGAACTCAGGACCTTGTGCTTGAGAGGCAGGCGAGGCACCACTGAGCTAAATCCCTGGCCCTTAGGATCCTTTTCATTATAAAATGAGTACTTTATGATACCACTGTCACTAAAAATTAGAATTATCTTTTACTTGGTGACTTTTTTGTTTAAAATTATTTATGTATGTATGTATGTATGTATGTATGTATGTATGTATGTATTTATTGGTACCGGGGATCGAACTCGGGTCTTTGCGCTTGTGCAGCAGGCAGCGAAGTTTAAAATTAGTTTTTAAAATACACTCTTTCGTATAGGTGATCAAATAACTTGTTCTGCCAGAGGTAGAAATATTGATGCTACTTGGTAGTATTTATCTGAATGCCACCAAGGAGCATTTTGTGTGAAAGTATTTTTTAATAATGTTAGATGTACAAAATTAACGATGTTAATCCCCAAACCATAGCTTCCTTGCTTGCTTTTTGTGGTGGTGATGTTGGAGGTTGAACCCAGAGCGTGTGAGTGAACATTCCACCATGAGCTACACCCTCAGTCCAATAGCTCTTATAATCCATTTTAGATACTTGAGTCTCAACTTCTCTGAAACAACTTTATTGAGGTATACAGTTAACTACAGTATCCATGTTTAAAATGTAAAATTTGATCAGTTTTGACATACATTCGTATATGTGAAACTAGTTGCACCATCTAGCTCATGAGAATTTCTGTGACCCCAAAAAGTTTTCTCATGCCCCTTTGCAATGTGTCCCTGTCCCTTCTTCCACCCCATCCTAGGAAATTCCTGATCCACCTTTTGTCGCTATAGATTACTTTACATTTTCTAGTAACATACAGTATGCAGTATTTTGCCTTTTGCTTAGCATAATTTTGAGATTCATCTCTTTTGTTGTATGTATCAATAGTTTGTACTTTTCATTACTAACAGATATTCCATTACATAGATACAGTGCAGTTTATTAAATCATCTTTTGATGGGTTTTTAAAACTACTTCTATTTGTTGAATACTATAAATGAAACTGCTACAAACATTTGTGTACAGGTCTCTGTATGGAGATTTAAAAAATTTCTCTTGGTGACTGCCTAGGAGTGGGATGAATGATTCTTAACGGTAGATGGATGTTTAGCTTTGTAAGAAGCTGCTAATTGTACATTGTTATATTCCCACCAGCAGTATATGAGAGTTCCTGTTGCTTGCTGCTTCATTTTTAATATGCCATTAAATAATGGGCTGATAAATTTTAGATATTTTCATGACACACTGTAGTAAAATGTCATGTTTATCCTAAAGTTAAGAATTAGTCAATTTTCTAATGTAGAGAAATACCTGAGGCTGGTTAACTTGAAAAGAACCAACTTGCTTTGGTAGTTCCAGCACCTAGGAGGCTGAGGGAGGAGGATCTCAAGTTTGAGCCTAGCCAAGGCAATTTAGTGACTTAGCAAGACTGTCTCAAAGTAAGAAATAAAAAAAGAGATGGAGATGTAACTTAGCGTGAATCCTTTGGGTTCAATCCCCAGACCTCCCCAAAAAAGTTTTTTGGTCATAGTTCTAGAGGTGACATCAGGGACATGGCATGAGCATCAGCTTGGCTCTGCTGAGACCTTATGGCAGATGGCATCACAATGGCAGTAGCATGTGTGGTAGGGAGATCACATCACCAGACAGGAAGTCAGAGAAGCTGTCAGGGGCCAGCCTTGTCCTTTTAGAACAGCCCTCTCGAGAACCAGCTCAGGGATCCTGTGAGAATTGTGCACCCATTTCCCTAAGGACCCCTCCCCCGGCGGGGCCCATCTCTCAAAGCTCCCACTGCTTCTCAACATCACTGTACTGGGGACCAAGCTTCCTGTGTATGAACCTTTGGGGGACAAAGTCACATCCAGACCACTGCAAGTGACTTCTTTTGAACCAAAATAATTACCATAAATACTCTGCACCCCCCCCCTTTTTTTTTTGGTGCAGGGGATTGAACTCGGGTCCTTACGCTTGCGAGGCAGGTGGTGGAACCACTGAGCTAAATCCCCGGCCCTCCCCCTCCCCGCTTTGATGCTAGGGCTGAAACTCAAGACCTTGCACTACACCACTGACCTATCCCCCCCAGGCCTTTGCATGCATGCCCTTTAAGCTGATGATGATATGTCTTGTTTTTGTCTTCATGAACCATATTTGAGAACTTTTCATATATTTAGTCCTCTTCATATTGTAATCTTTAACAAAATTCCCTGCCCTTGCTGGCTTTTTAATTGTCCCTATGTTACTATTCTTTACCAGGTCAGTAAAATCAGCTTGGTGGATCTAGCAGGAAGTGAACGCGCTGATTCAACTGGTGCCAAAGGAACTCGATTAAAGGTATTTATTTTACCAAATAAGCTGCCTAGTCAATCAGTGTTCTGCAACATGGGCCAAATCCAGTCCACCACCTGATTTTATGGATGAAATTTTATTGACATATAGCTAAAATCATTAGTTTGTGTTATCAGTGCTCTACAGTGGCAGAGTTGTGAGCGATCATATGATCCACAAAACCTAATTTTTAATTTTTTTGCATAAAAATTTACAAAATAGGGAAGGCTTCGTGGTTAGGATGAGAACTGAACTACATTTTGAGAAAAGAGGCAAAATTTGCCTAGGTGGAAGTAGAAGACCTTAAAGGGAATAGGGTACCCAAGATCCAGATATGAGAAAAACATGAAGTTTGGTGGAGATACGTTTAACACAAATAGCAGTTTCATGTGGGAAGAAGGCTGCATCTGTAAGGTTTTAGAGAACAACATCTTGGAGGCTGGTATGTCGTCCGAACAGGTTGACAAATGAAAAGAGGAAAGATTGGGGACTGAAGGCAGTTTTTAGAACTTGTGATCATAAACAAATATGCTATCATATGACAGATTACTGTACATTTTATTCTCTATATGAATGAGAAATTACTCAATATAATTCTTTCATGTTTGGTGTTTATTTTAGGAAGGAGCAAACATTAATAAGTCCCTTACAACACTGGGCAAAGTCATTTCAGCCTTGGCAGAAGTGGTAAGTTATACTTCATTACAAGCAGCATTTGTCTGGTCAACAAATACACTTGGTGATAGTTTATGCTTGCTAATGAAGGCTGTCCTGTTTTGCCCTTTCTCCTCTTAGAGCTATCCAGATTAGATAGTGAGTATAACATAGTTTGACTTTGTACTGAAAGTAGGATGAAAGTACATGCAGATGTGTAAATGCTGGGGTGAAGACCTAAGGTGTGACTAATTTTTAGAGCCTTATTTAATATCTTATAGAAACCAAGTGTATTTATTGTATGTTCTTTTCCTGTGCAATAATTTCTAGGTAGGATGCATAGTATCTTTTGGAGTATATTGAGCAGTTTGGCTTTAATGAATGCTGTTGATTTGGGAGCCAATGATAGCTTTTTGGAATACAGTCATGAGTCACTTACTGAGGGGGCCACATTGTGGGAAATGCATCCTTAGGCATTTATTGCTGTGGGAACGTCATAGTGCATGCTCACACTGACCTGGGTGGGGAGCCCACTGCACACCTCAGCTGGAGGGTGTAGTCTACTGCTGCCAAGGTCATGGTGGAAAAAACTGTGTGAGGTTAAGTTAAGCATGGGAGAAGACGATGCAGTCCAGAGTCGGGTAAACACACAAGATGTTGAGGCTGCTGCCCTTGTAACATGGTACACTTGCACAGTAAAACAAAAATTTTTTTGTAAGTAGAAAGGGTATTCTCTAAAAGAGGGAAAAAAGTATAGCATAGTAAAGACACATACCAGTGACGTGGTCTCTGCTTACTACTGTAATACCGGCAGTGCAGGAGTTTCTTTGTACCAGTTCACTGCAGACATGTGAGCAGTGTGTGGTGCTACCACCTAAGGTCCACTCTGACATAGGGATTTTGCAGCACCGTTACAATCTTACAGGACCACCATTGTGTGTCCAGTCAGCACGTGGAGGGAAATGTCATTGTGCAGCACGTGGCTGTAGTTTCATTCTTTCCCATTGTTTAACAGTGGAACACCAAAGCTAAAGCATTTTTCATGTAAGCGTCTTCATTATTTGGTTTAGAAGCCAAGGAAGTAATTAGTCATTTTGTGCTCTTCTTTAAATTAATACCTCATTTAAATTGCTAAAAAGAACTGAGTATTTTGTGCTTGTCTCTAAGAAGTCATAATCTATAATTTTTATTGAAATAAAGTACTGTTTTTTATTTGGAGGCTTATCCTGTGTCCTTGTTCTCTCCTCTAAATGCTTTCGTCTATAGGATAACTGCACCAGCAAGGTATGGTGGGGATTGGCAGAGACAAGCTACCTATAGAATCAACTCATGGTTTTAAGTCCACAGGGAATGTATAGAATCATAAGTAGGAATTTGGAACCTTCAGAAATTTTTCATCATTTGTCTTCTGGCCCTGGAATTTAGAATGGTTGTTGAGGGTGATCATAAATTGTTAAGATTTTACCCCAGAATTAATTTAGGAACATGATGTACTTGGAGAAGGAAATAAGAATAAAGAAACAAAACAGAAAGTCTAAGAAGTTTTATATTATGTTGTCTTGCAGTGTTTGTCCTGATTATATATAGGACTGTTTCTTTCTTTTTTTTTTTTGGTACCAGGGATTGAACTTGGGTCCTTGCGCTTGCAAAGCAGGAGGTGGAACCACTGAGCTAAATCCCTGGCCCAGGACTGTTTCTTTATACTTTCTTGAAAGTTCACCATGTTAAATTTCTTAAGGATACTACTCTAAAACACACCTGGCTTCTTGAAATTATTGGTATATGTATTTTTTTTTTTTTTTGGTACCGGGGATCGAACTAGGGTCCTTGCACTTATGCAGCAGGGGGCAAAACTACTGAGCTAAATCCCCAGCCCCTATTGGTATGTGTATTTTTAAACCTCTTTGTATTATTTTACTTGTTTTCCACCATGAAAGGTCATGGGAAATTTAAAACAACTTTTTTCCTGTTCTCTGGTTACAAATAGATAAAGTGAAAGCTGTAGAATTAAGTTAAAGTTTTAACTGCATCTAGAAAACTTACTTGTATCTTCCTTTACCCAAATACTATAGATTTTTCTTTTCCTTATATTTTTGTACAAATATTCTAGGATTTATTAGTACTCTTGCACAAATTTAGAGCACCTAATTGTGACTCACATGAGGGAAATTGGAGATAGAGGCAGTATTTGCATTGGAACATTTTATACTCACACTTTCAAATATTTAGATTGGTTTATTTCCTCCACCTTTATAATAATAATTTAGTAAAAAAGTATGCCTTTTTGTTTTTCTGTGCTTATCAGCAGAAGATGCCTTATATTCAGAAACCTACCTGCTATTTAATATTATATATGTGTGAACATTCATGTATCTAGTCTGGGTCTCACAACCATGAAGACTGTTAAAATTTAGTGATCTTTCTAACTTGTCCAGTCTCTTTGCTCCCCTATTAATGTATCAACCACAAGAAAAGTTTGCAGAGTATTTTCTGTAAATGTCCACATTGCTCTGTGCCACAATTATGTAGCAAACATAATTTTTGGTGAACTAAGACATTATTTCCACTGGGGAAGGAAACAAGTTTATTGCTATCTCCACTTAACAGTATAGGTTGAGTGTCCTTCACTCAAAAATTCAAAATCTGAGATGTCTCCAAAATCTGAAACTTTTTGAGTCCTAGTGTAAAACTGAGTGGAAAATTCCACACCTGACCTCATGTGATTGGTGGCAGTCAAAACACAGGCACACTGAAATTACTGTAAAAATTTACTTTTAGGCTATATGTATAAGGTCTATATGAAACATGTACAGGGTCCCATGCCCCAAATATCTCCTTATATGTATGGAAATATTCCAAAATTAAAAAAGAATCTGAAATGTTTTTGGTTCCAAGCATTTCAGATAAGAGATATTCAGCCCGTATTTTTTTAGAGAGATTAATGATCCAAGTGAACTTTTTTTTTTTTTTTGGGTACCGGAGATTGAACTCGTGTCCTTGTGCTTGTGCAGCAGGCAGCGAAACCACTGAGCTAAATCCCTGGCCCCCAAGTGAACTTTTTATGTAACTACTAAAGAACTTATTTTCCAAACGTGTAAATGTGAGAACAGGTGGGATTAATTAAGAAAGCAAACAGAAAAGAAATGGCCAGAATTCTGGAATATTTTCAAATGGAAAGGTTGAAGTTCTACTTATGTTTCTTCATTTAACTATTTCTTCTTAATTAGTCTAATTGACAGAAATGAAAATAGGACATTTTTGGCAAACCAGCGTGCTTATTTTTGTAGTGCTATTTGTGGTTATTGTGACTGGTATACTTTTAAGTTCTATAGCATTTTCAGTATTAACAGTGGGCCTGTAGCTCAGTGGCGCCACAACTACCTGGCAGGCTCAGGGTCCTAAGTTCAATTCCCGGTACCAAAAAGAAAAGAAAAAAAGCAGGGGATAACAGTGGGCAAATGAGATGTTTTAGCTGTGTTCAGGAACTGTAAAAGGATAAACTAAGGTCTCAGGCCTCAGAGATTTTGTAGTGGAAGGAAAGTTTGTTCTGAAAGGCTTGGAGCCTCTTGGAGCCCTGTGCTATTTTAAGTTGATCCTGCTACTGGAAATGACTTTCTAACTGGTGGAATACGCATCTGTGGGTGGAGTGCGATAAGATCCTGTGGATGGGTTTGCTTGTGTTGCTGTGGATTCAAACCCTGGCCCTTGAACATGCTAGGCAAGCATTCTACCACTCAGCTGCATCCCCAGCTCAGTGTTTGTGGTGAGAGATGGAATTACAGTGTCACTTGCCTGCTCCCTTTTGTTCTCCACAATCCTGAGGTTAGCCACTGAGTACTCTTCTGAGTACCTGTGCTTTTGCAAAAAGTAGATTATCCTTTGTTGAACCTTGGATTATACTAGGAATGGATTCTAAAACTGCCCATTGCCAAGGCAGTGTTAATCAGGAAGCCCCACTTTTTCCTTAGTCACTGCTTAAGGCCTCAGAACACATTAGTCAGCCAGAGGTATTTAAGTAGTAGCTGTCTGTAAACATTTTGCTCATTTTTTACCTCTAGAGAATATGATTTTTTCCGTTTCAGCACTACCTTTTTAGTGGTGCTTTGGTTTTGTCCTGTGGTAATGAGAAAGACCATGAAGAGAGCATTATAAATGGATCCTTAAAATATATAGAAAATTCACCCTCGTAGTCTTTACATATCTCTAAATTAGCAAACTACATCATTTTCCTAGACCTTTTCACTTTAGTCCTTGTTCTAATGGTTGGATTTTGTTGTTGTTGTCATAGTTACTAGATATGCACCAACCTACTTGATAATTTTGTAGTTGGCCAAGTAAATTTATTAACTAAACATCTCATTCTTACATATCCAACCTAGAATGCACAGGATTCATATTTACCTTTCTATAAAAATAAATGTGTTTGAGGGCTGGATATTAGATGATAGTGAAGAATTACTGTTAATTTTGTTTGGTGTGATGATAATCTTTCAGGTTTTTTGGTAGTTCTTGTCTGTTAGAGATATGTAGAGAATTTATAGGTGAGATATTAGATTTGCTTTAAAACACTAACAGCTGTAGAAGACACGAACAGCATTAGGAAACAGTATTGTATTGCTGTTGAATTTCCTAAATTTGGTGGTTGTTCTGTGAGAGAATGTCCTTATCTGTTGACATGTTAGACAGGATGTCTACACTGTACTCCAGAATAGCTCAGTCAGGACTCTATAGAAGTGTTTGGAGGGTAATTGAAAGATGAATATATATTGATAATAATTGAAGGTGCATGGTATCATACAGTAGCACATTACACTATTTTCTAGGCTTTTGTGTATGTTATAAAAATTTCAAAATAAAATGCAGAAAGAATAATTGCATGAGCTTTGCGTGTTGTGAAGAATTGGAACTGCAAATGATAAATTTCAACAATGGTGGATTACTACTGTAATTTGGTATACTTGTGAATTTTAGACTGGCTTCTGTCTCATGTGAATTTTTTGTCTTAACAGTGCTAAGGCTGTTCCTTTCTTTTAATAGAGTAAGAAGAAGAAGAAAACTGATTTCATTCCTTACAGGGATTCTGTACTTACTTGGCTTCTTCGAGAAAATCTGGGTATGTTGATTACTGGTACAAATTCACTTTGTAGTTATCTTTTTAAAGCTGTTTACTATCTTTTGTGGTTAATTGTTCTGTGTCTGTTTTGGAGAAAAATTGTCTGTAGATATTCATGTTACTAACTTGAGTGCTTCTTGCCTCCATTTTTACTCCAGACTTCAGCTTGTTTGAGTCATGTAACTCAGGGTGTCCTCCTGTTGCCATTTAGGTCAGGGCACAACTGTGGAATGGTTGTCTTCCTGACCCCCAGCATCTGCTGCAAACTCTGGCTTCTTCTTCAAAGTTCTTCCAAAACCCTCTTATTCCTCTGAGGTGCACCGAGTCAGACAGCACCAGCCTTTACTCTTCCTTATTGCTGGTGTTTTGGAACTTTGCAGTCCGTGCCCTTTATTTAGTGCTCTTTCTTAGCAAGAAGGAGTGATAGGATGTGCCACTAGAGGGAAGAGGCTAAAAGTAAGCCAGTGGTCTGGTTGCCAGCCAGTGCCATCCCATTGCCACGGACGGTGTTGGTGAGTGGCTGAGGTCTCGAGCGGAGTAGGTTTAGGGGAGAGAGGAGATGCCGGAAGTGGACCCAGGAGATCCAGATGCCAAAATTTGACTGTAACAGTGGCTGGCACGGAGACATTTAAGAAAGGTGTTGGTGGGCCAGGGATTTAGCTCAGTGGTTTCATCACCCGCTGCACAAGCGCAAGGACCCGAGTTCAATCCCCGGTACCAAAAAAAAAAAAAAGTGTTGGCTTTTGATTAACTATTAGCATCTGAGATTGTGCTGTCAAGATTTAATGCATTCGATAAAACTTTCTCAAGTGAGATGTTTGAGATACCTATGATACCTCTTTTTAGGTGGCAATTCTCGGACTGCAATGGTTGCTGCTCTGAGCCCAGCAGACATCAACTATGATGAAACTCTGAGCACTCTGAGGTACCCTCCCCATCGCTGCAGCCACACAGCCCACATTGCTGTCCCAAGGGCTTTTTCTGTGCTGTGTGGGTGGTTGTGTAGACAGCGATCTCCTTCCTTCCTTTCCTCTTTCCTTCCTTCCTTCCTTCCTTCCTTCCATCTGTCTTTCTGTTTTTCTTTCATACCAGGGTTCGAACTCGGGTCCTTGCACTTGTGGGGCAGGTGGCAGAACCACTGAGCTAAATCCTTGGCCCTGATCTTTCTTTCTTAACAGGGAAAAGATGGGGGAAATGAGTGTTACTATAATGGAATTTACCTTTTTTATTGTTTGCAGTTTCACTGGGAAAGGCAGGAACTTTTTGAGAGCAAAGAGGTTCAAATTGCACATGCAGGATTTTCAAATAATAATGAAACTTTATTATGATCATTTCTATAAAAAAGTAGTCTCTTGTGAGCACAGACTTTGTCTTTATAGAAACACTGAAGTTATAAAAAATAATACAATTAGGAGTACATGAAGCATTAATAAAAATTAACAGGATGTTCAGTAGTAGAATATTTTTATATGTGAATAAATTCTGTTACTTTAGTCTTTCTTTCTCCCATATAGTTTTGATACAGCAAAAAGAATCCTATCTAGTCTGACAACCTGGGTTTTTTGTTGTTTTCTTTTGGTACCGGGGATCAAACTTGGGTCCTTGCACTTGCAAGGCAGGCGGCGGAACCACTGAGCTAGATCCCTGGCCCTCAACCTGGATTTGAGACCTCTCTGGTTTTCATTTCTGTTGTGATTGTGCACAGAATCACATCAGTTTATCTGAGCTTCCCCCTCATGCTTATAAGACTGTAAAGCTTTACATAAATCTGTTATTAATAAGGCTCATAAAATGTGTCAATGTTCAGGATGTTTGATTTAGAAATAATGGTATGTTACTTATGAGAAAAAGAGTACCTGTGAAATGGCAAGAATAAATTTTTTTATTAGATATGCAGATCGTGCGAAACAGATTAAATGTAATGCTGTCATCAATGAGGACCCCAATGCCAAACTGGTTCGCGAGTTAAAGGAGGAAGTGACACGGCTGAAGGACCTGCTTCGTGCTCAGGGACTAGGAGATATTATTGATAGTAAGTGAATTAAAATCAACACAAAATCTGATCTTCCTCTTTAGGTTCTTACAATTAAAATATACTTGAAATTTAAGGAACTTGATGAAACTAGATGGTAGTCAAAATGATTTTATGGTTTGTTTTTTTTTCTTAAAAACCCCAGTGAAAGCCAGGCATGTTAGTGTGTGCCTATAGTCTCAGCTACTCGGGAGGCTGAGCCATGAGGATTGCTTGAACTCAAAGGTTTGGGGCTAGCCTGGGCAACATAGCAAGGTCCATTGCAAAATGAACAAAGCAAGAACAGTGAAAATGATCTTGGAATTTCTGTAATATGTACCCAGGCCATCATGATGTTTTTTTTTTTTGGGCACCGGGGATCAAACTCAGGACCTTGTGCTTGCAAGGCAGGTATGGTGCTGCTGAGCTACATCCCCGGCCCCATCATGAATTCTTTTTGGATGTTAACTGAGAAAATGTAACTTCATAAAAATGTAACTTGGAAATTTTGTTTCACGGGTTTCCCTGGATTAGCGTAGTGGGAGTGATACATGTGTAAGTAATCCACCATTCAAGTCTATTTTCAGGTAAGATTCACCTTTTTTTTTGGTACCGGGGATTGAACTTGGGTCCTTACGCTTGCGGGGCAGGTGGCTGAACCACTGAGCTAAATCCCCAGCCCTAAGATTCACCTTTAAGTGGTCCTTGGTCCCTATGAACCTATGAAGGAGAAAGGTTCATTTCCTCAAGTTCCAGAACTAGACTTCTAGCAAGTATTGCTTTGCAGTGCATTGTTTAAAATCTCACTGATGTGCCTGTATAATGTCTAATCCAGAATTCTCCTAATCTAGTGCAGTGGTAAATCTAATGCATCTGTAATCTCTGCTGCTCAGAGCTGAGACAGGAGAATCACAAGTTTGAGGCCAGCCAGGGTAGTTTAGTGAGTCTGTCTCAGTAAAAAGGGCTGGGGATAGAGCTCAGTGGTAGGATGCTTGCCCATTATGTTCAAGGCTCTGGGTTCAGTCTCCAGTGCCACCAAAAAATAAATATTTAAATAAGTTAAATGAATAAAATAGATTATTCAGATAGAGTGGGATTGAACCAGGGCCTCAAGCATCCAAGGCAAGTATTCCTCTGCTGAGCTGCATCCCTAGACTTTTTTTTTGTGACAGGGTCTTAAGTTTCCCAGGCTGGCCTCAACCTTGTCAATCCTCCTGCTCCAGCCTCTAGAGGAGCTGGAATTATAGGCATGTACTACCACACCTGGCAGTAATTTTGATTGTAATATTAGTATTATCTTCCTTGACATTCGCATAGATTTTCAAGGCCTCTTCTAGTTTATTTCTTACTGGATTATTAGAGCCTGAGTTTAGATTAATGGTGTTTGTAAAAGTGATCATACATTGTATTAACTTTATTCATCTTCCCAAATGCCAAATACTGCTATGTTCCCTCTCTGTGTCACTGCTGAATGTGAACTCTGACCCTTCTTGTATTTTCCCTCCTGCTTACCTTCAGTTGATCCATTGATTGATGATTACTCTGGAAGTGGAGGCAAATGTGTGTATTTCATGTATTGTTTATTCCAGTATGCTAACTTGCTAATCTGCCTCTGCTGGATCAGCCTTAAAATGAGCTTTGCATGCCAGCAATGCTAACAGGGAAATCCCAGACAGAGCATGCTATAGAATCAGTACTTCTCCTTTTTTTGCCCTTCTTCATTTAGCAAAGTGACCTTTGAAGAATTTCAGTTTGTTGTTTGAGTGAAGTTGAAAGACTTAAGAATTTCTTACTTCTTTCACTCTTTAGTTTTTCCCCATGTGATTCAGTTAAACCCAGAATCCGAGATGATGAGTACAGTACTGATGACAGCTCATGTTATTAGTGTTCTTAATGCACTATGCCCTCTTCAGGCACCTTCAGCATCATTACCTCTCTCAGTTCTGCCTCTGATCGACACAGTTTGAGGCAGGAGGCTTCTACTGTGCCCCTTTACCATAGCCGGAGTGATTAGTTTCCCGAGCTCCCATGGTTTTTATGGGTCCCGTTGGGTAGTGCAACTTGGAACCCTTGCTTTTATTCTAACACTTTTTTACTTGCCCCTGTAGTTGCTGCCTTCATGGTCTGATTATTATTATTATTTTTTTTTTTTGGTACCGGGGATCAAACTCGGGTCCTTCTGCTTGCCGGGCAGGCAGTGAAACCACTGAGCTAAATCCCTGGCCCAATGGTATGATTATTTATAGAAAATTCATTTTCAATTAATCTTGCAAATGGAAGCCTTTGTGTAATTAACAGAATCATTTCTAGTCGGCCAGACGGAGGCACTCTGCATGTTAGGTTAGCCCTCCCTCTGCTTATTCTAAGTTGGTTTTCTCCATATCTTAGGCCTCAGCTTATTGGATGATTAGCTAAGCATTTCCCCCTCTTTTCATAAAGACACTAAGATTTAAAAACAAGTGTCTAAAGTATATGCTTGAAATGAGGACATTTTATAAAGGATTGGACTTCAGTATTCTCTCCATATATAGCATTAAGTTGATGAGGAAATAATTGCTTAGCCTTTATAACTTATAAAGGAATTAACTTAAAAGACATGAGTAATCCTGGTTAGGATATTAATTTTAAGATTCATATTGATTTTTTTCCATACAGTTAGGCGCCTTAGACAATAGGGAAATGCATAGGAGAACCCAGACATAGCCTGGTTGGTATGAGTTAGGCCCTGCAGATCCTGGAATGTTCTAATAACACATGTGACTCTTGGACTGGAACAGCTCTGTCTGAGATTTCCAAAGCTGAATGATACTGGTGTGGAAAAGATGCCTTCTTATTCTTGCTTTTGTGCTCAAAGTTGCTGCTGCCAGCTTGTTACTGACCTCCGAGCAGCTATGGCATTTCCTGAGAAACCATGCATGACTAAGTTTTAACTCCCTATCTGTGAAGGAGGGCAGTCCTGAGTACTTCTAGGTTTCTGCTTGGATCTACTCTTAATTCCTTTCAGGGCTTGCATGAGTCCACTGGACCTTCTAAACCCCATCCATCCTGCCCTTCCCACCTTGCCACCATCGCTTGGTGGCTGACTTTTTGCTGTAGTTCCAATTCCCCTTTGAAAATATGCCTTTTTGCTTATTTTCCTATGTTCTATATTTACAGATGGTGGTTTTCAAACTGTCTTGAAGCAACTGCAGGCTTTAAAGGGGTTAAAGAACTGTCTTTAGTTTAATAGTAAAGATGAGTAGACCTAGAGAGAACAAATAATATTTTTCTATTATTTGTATTGCTTCATATCCTTAGTTTTTATGCAAATTTTAAGCAGTGTAGATTTTCTCAAATTTAAAATGACCTAATTTAAAAATAGGAATGCACCTCTGGTGTTCATTTGAGAAAGATGACTAAAAACGGAAACTATAAACAAATTAATGAATTTTGTTTGTGGCTTTAAAAAAAATAAATTTAAGAGTAAATTTACAGTTCTGTTAGAGACTTTAGCAAGTGAAACTTAGTCCCTAAAATTCACATATCATACTAGAAAGCAGGCTTGCCAGTGATCCCATGGTTGTGCTGTTGTTTGCTTAAATTAGCAAATAATCATTTTTTTTTTTTGGCCATGATAGATGAGTGGAAACTACACCAAAACATATCAATTTGTTAGTTCTTCTTCCCTATTGAGGCAGTTGTTGAGTTCTGAGTTCTTTTTTTTTTGGTACCGGGGATTGAACTCGGGTCCTTGTGTTTGCGAGGCAGGCAGCGGAACCACTGAGCTAAATCCCCAGCCCAGGTTCTGAGTTCTTAACCAGACTTATACAAAATTCCCCTCTCATATTCTTTTTTGTTTTGGGGGTTTTTTTGGTACTGGGGATCAAACTTGGGGCCTTGCACTTGGAAAGCAGGCAGTGGAACCACTGAGCTACATCCCTGGCCCCTTAAGACATTTTAAAGGGCCGGGGATGTAGCTCAGTAGTGCTGTGCCTGCCTGGCAAGCGCAAGGTTCTGAGTTCAATCCCCAGTACTGGAAAAAAAAAGAAATTAAAAAAAAAAAA